CAGTTCTAATTCAGTTCTAGTTCAGTTCTAGTTCAGTTCTAGTTCCAGTTCAGTTCTAGTTCAGTTCTAGTTCAGTTCTAGTTCAGTTCTAGTTCAGTTCTAGTTCAGTTCTAGTTCAGTTCTGGTTCAGTTCTAGCTCAGTTCTAGTTCAGTTCTAGTTCAGTTCTAGTTCAGTTCTAGTTCAGTTCTAGTTCAGTTCTAGTTCAGTTCTAGTTCAGTTCTAGTTCAGTTCTAGTTCAGTTCTAGTTCAGTTCTAGTTCAGTTCTAGTTCAGTTCTAGTTCAGTTCTAGTTCAGTTCTAGTTCAGTTCTAGTTCAGTTCTAGTTCAGTTCTAGTTCAGTTCTAGTTCAGTTCTAGTTCAGTTCTAGTTCAGTTCTAGTTCAGTTCTAGTTCGGTTCTAAATTAGTTCATGTTCAGTTCGGGTTATTATCCAGACACAGTTCTTGTCAATAGTCCATACTTAAGTCTGGGCTTTGTCCTAAACTATAGTATAGTAAATAGTCCAATTTATAGATTGGTCTATAGTCCATACTATAGTCTGGTCTGCTTTTGATTATAACACTTTTTTACTTATTCATCTGTAACCATTTCTATTAATATCATTTCTGTTTTAAAATAAATATTAATGTTTTTTATGTTAATGATGTAACAAATATTTTCATGCTTTATTTAACTTTTTTTATTATTAAGTTATTAATCATTTGTAGTCATAAGTTTTTTGTTTAAAGATTAATGATTTTGCTTTTTTTATTTTGGCTAAATATTTTACAAGAAATGTTTTAATTAAAAACAAAACTGCAAATAAAAATCATATATTATTTAAGTAAAAGCGTAATGAATTTTGTGAAATAAATCTTATTTCGTTTTGGTGTTAAAGCACGCTTAATTAAACAAGAAAACGCTAAATAATCATTATGGTAAACAATAAAACAGAGATGCCAGATAGTGGTCGATAGAAGGAGAGGTAAGTGGATGCTTTAATGGGTATTTGGTGAGATTCTTTGAGAAATTCTATGTTTCTAGAAAGAGACGATTTGAATGATCTTTATATGTATTTATATGCAGTGATCAAAATTTTTATGTGACATCGGAAGATGTATAACTAATAAATATTTATGGAAAACAAAGATTTTCCCTTGTTTGAGGCCTGACCCTGATAACTTCATGTAATTTCTCTCATTTTCAGATTTTGCGGGTATTAAAACATTCAAAATGTAAATATGCAAGTAGTATGAAATAGAAATTTGTTTGACAATTCCCTGGACCCTTATCAGCTGTGAGACTTGACAATAAAACTCTTGAAAAGTGCATTTTGTTGTTAGTGTCATTTTATAGCTATTTTGCCCAGATAGACTTCTAAGATTTTCACATAACCTTTGGCAGAAGTTGAAAAAAAGAAGATTCCATACTATTTGAAATCTTAGGAAATCTTTATTATATGAAATTTCTTTATATTATGTTGGTCTTTATGAATGCAATAATGCAATCGTGATGACAATTAAAAATGCATTCATTGTCAATTGTGTGTAAAAGAGAGAGATAAAGAGAGGGGGAAAATGTCTTTGGCCGTTTGCGAATGCAATTTTTAGTGCAAAATGCTGGCTGTCAACTGACATACAAAGACATAATACAAAGAAGTAGTAGAAGAAGAAAGAGTAGACAATAACAAATAAATTAAAAGACAGTTTAAAAAGAAGTGCAGAAATGCAATAAACCCGTGTTATTGTCATTGTATTGTTAAAAGCACATAAATCAACTCAAATTGTTGGTTCAGAAAAAAAGAAATCGTTGCTTTTGACAGACAGACCTAAGAGAGTGAAGTTTTATGTTGTTGTTTTTATTAAAGGCATTTCTTTGTCAGACTATGTCTAGTTGGGCATTTTATAGTTTTATTTATTTATTTAAAATATTTTATTTTCATTTGTCAATTGACAATTTTTAGGGATTAGTTATTTAAAGGACCTTTTCTATTGAACTCAAAAAAGGTCCCTTAATAATCAATTACCAAATTTATGGGATTTTAAAAGGATTTAAGTATTAGTTTGATTATTTTTTTTTTAAATTTTTAACTTTATTCCATTTAAATAGAACTGAACTGAACTAGAACTGAACTAGAACTGAACTAGAACTGAACTAGAACTGAACTAGAACTGAACTAGAACAGAACTGAACTAGAACTGAACTAGAACTGAACTAGAACTGAACTAGAACTGAACTAGAACTGAACTAGAACTGAACTAGAACTGAACTAGAACTGAACTAGAACTGAACTAGAACTGAACTAGAACTGAACTAGAACTGAACTAGAACTGAACTAGAACTGAACTAGAACTGAACTAGAACTGAACTAGAACTGAACTAGAACTGAACTAGAACTGAACTAGAACTGAACTAGAACTGAACTAGAACTGAACTAGAACTGAACTAGAACTGAACAAGAATTGAACTAGAACTGAACTAGAACTGAACTAGAACTGAACTAGAACTGAACTTGTACTGAACTTGTACTGAACTAGAACTGAACTAGAACTGAACTTGAACTGAACTTGAACTGAACTAGAACTGAACTAGAACTGAACTAGAACTGAACTAGAACTGAACTAGAACTGAACTAGAACTGAACTAGAACTGAACTAGAACTGAACTAGAACTGAACTAGAACTGAACTAGAACTGAACTAGAACTGAACTAGAACTGAACTAGAACTGAACTAGAACTGAACTAGAACTGAACTAGAACTGAATTAGAACCAACTAGAACTAGAATTAAACTTGAACAGTATATAGTCTGAACTATAGATCAGTCTATAGTCTGGTATTGATCAAAATAATATTTTGTTTACATTCATAGTATTAACTATAGATCAGTCTTTAGCCTGGTCTATAGATAAGTCTTTAATAAGGACTATAGTTTAGTCAATAATCTGGACTGTATTATCAGTCGATAGTATGGACTATAGATCAATGTATAGTCTGGACTATAGATCAGTCTAGACTGTATAGACTGATCTATATAGATCAGTCTATAGTCTGGACTATAGATCAGTCTATAGTCTGGACTATAGATCAGTCTATAGTCTGGACTATAGATCAGTCTATAGTCTGGACTATAGATCAGTCTATAGTCTGGACTATAGATCAGTCTATAGTCTGGACTATAGATCAGTCTATAGTCTGGACTATAGATCAGTCTATAGTCTGGACTATAGATCAGTTTTTAGAACTGAACTAGAACTGAACTAGAACTGAACTAGAACTGAACTAGAACTGAACTAGAACTGAACTAGAACTGAACTAGAACTGAACTAGAACTGAACTAGAACTGAACTAGAACTGAACTAGAACTGAACTAGAACTGAACTAGAACTGAACTAGAACTGAACTAGAACTGAACTAGAACTGAACTAGAACTGAACTAGAACTGAACTAGAACTGAACTAGAACTGAACTAGAACTGAACTAGAACTGAACTAGAACTGAACTAGAACTGAACTAGAACTGAACTAGAACTGAACTAGAACTGAACTAGAACTGAACTAGAATTGAACAAGAACTGAACTAGAACTAAACTAGAACTAGAATTAAACTTGAACGGTATATAGTCTGAACTATAGATCAGTCTATAGTCTGGTATTGATCAAAATAATATTTTGTTTACATTCATAGTATTAACTATAGATCAGTCTTTAGTCTGGTCTATAGATAAGTCTTTAATAAGGACTATAGTTTAGTCAATAATCTGGACTGTATTATCAGTCGATAGTATGGACTATAGATCAGTCTATAGATCAATGTATAGTCTGGACTATAGATCAGTCTCGACTGTATAGACTGATCTATATAGATCAGTCTATAGTCTGGACTATAGATCAGACTATAGTCTGGACTATAGATCAGACTATAGTCTGGATTATAGATCAGTCTATAGTCTGGACTATAGATCAGTCTATAGTCTGGACTATAGATCAGTCTATAGTCTGGACTATAGATCAGTCTATAGTCTGGACTATAGATCAGTCTATAGATCAGTCTATAGTCTGGACTATAGATCAGTCTATAGTCTGGACTATAGATCAGTCTATAGTCTGGACTATAGATCAGTCTATAGTCTGGACTATGGATCAGTCTATAGTCTGGACTATAGATCAGTCTATAGTCTGGACTATAGATCAGTCTATAGTCTGGACTATAGATCAGTCTATAGTCTGGACTATAGATCAGTCTATAGTCTGGACTATAAATCAGTCTGTAGTCTGGACTATAGATCAGTCTATAGTCTGGACTAAAGATCAGTCTATAGTCTGGACTATAGATCAGTCTATAGTCTGGACTATAGATCAGTCTATAGTCTGGACTATAGATCAGTCTATAGTCTGGACTATAGAGCAGTCTATAGTCTGGACTATAGATCAGTCTATAGTCTGGACTATAGATCAGTCTATAGTCTGGACTATAGATCAGTCTATAGTCTGGACTATAGATCAGTCTATAGTCTGGACTATAGATCAGTCTATAGTCTGGACTATAGATCAGTCCATAGTCTGGACTATAGATCAGTCTATAGTCTGGACTATAGATCAGTCTATAGTCTGGACTATAGATCAGTCTATAGTCTGGACTATAGATCAATCTATAGTCTGGACTATAGATCAATCTATAGTCTGGACTATAGATCAATCTATAGTCTGGACTATAGATCAGTCTATCAGAAAAATTTGTGTTTCCCTAAAGAAAATATTGTGTATAACAGTTTGTTCTTAGAAAAAATTTCAAAAATTTTATATTAAAAGTTGTAAAATATTAAAAGTTGTAAAATGTTTGCAACTTTTACTGTAAAATACTCAATAATTGAAAATTTTTCAAAGTAAATGTAAGCAAAAAATTAAAATTACACACATTAATTTGCCAAATTAAATTTCAATTTAAAAAAATTTCTATAAAGGAAAATATCTTTAAAGATTTCTTTAAAATTTTAGTTCTTATCGGAACATGAGATAATTTGGTTAAAATAAAACATGTTGTTGAGTAGTGTAATTTTTACTGTAATTGCTGCAGTAATACCATTATTAGAAGCCATACCCGGTGGATTTATTGCTGCCGACGATGGCGGTTTAAACTTTGTGGTGGCTATATACGATCAAGAGAAATACATCTGTGGCGGTACAATTATAAGCACGAATTTTATAGTCACCGCTGCTCATTGTTTCAAGCGAGGTAGGGAAGTAACTGGTATTAAAATCATATGTAAAACGGTAGATTTGAACGATATAAAAGAAGAGAATATAAGAAATGTCGAGGAGATTATCATACATCCACGCTATTCAATGCTCAGTAGAGATTTCGATATAGCACTGGTCAAGTCTGAATATCCAAATGTGCGAAAACTGGGGTTGGCTACATATTATGATGTATACTATGATGAATATACTACAGCCGTGGGTTGGGGCCTGCAAATGGAACCTAATGATGTGCCACCTGTTCGACTAACGTATAATATTCTGAAGGTGTGGCAACGTGAATCATGTAATTCCCTTCATATATGGGGACCAGATGCCTATTATCTTTTTAAACCTTTGGTTAGCGAACGTATGTTATGTGCCGATGTACCAGATGTTGGACCGGGTACCTGCGAGAGTGATGATGGTTCGCCTATACTTACAAATGGGCCAGAAATTTTGGGTATATTATCATGGCGTTATGATTGTCAAACGCCTGGCAAGCCATCGGTGTATACAAGTATACCTTTGATGAAACCTTGGATATTAAAAGTAATGACCAACTATAGCATGAATAAAAAATAAGTAAAAATTAAGCACATTGTCTTATACTTCTTTAGTTTCAGTTCAGTTTTAGTTCAGTACTTGTTCAGATCTAAATCAGTTCTAGTTTAGTTCTAGTTCAGTTCTAGTTGTTCTAGTTCTGTTCTAGTTCTGTTCTAGTTCTGTTCTAGTTCTGTTCTGTTCTGTTCTGTTCTGTTCTAGTTCTGTTCTAGTTCTGTTCTAGTTCTGTTCTAGTTCTGTTCTAGTTCTGTTCTAGTTCTGTTCTAGTTCTGTTCTAGTTCTGTTCTAGTTCTGTTCTAGTTCTGTTCTAGTTCTGTTCTAGTTCTGTTCTAGTTCTGTTCTAGTTCTGTTCTAGTTCTGTTCTAATTCTGTTCTAGTTCTATTCTAGTTCAGTTCTGTTCTAGTTCTGTTCTAGTTCAGTTCTGTTCTAGTTCAGTTCTGTTCTAGTTCAGTCTGTGCTAGTTCAATTCTGTTCTAGTTCAGTTCTGTTCTAGTTCAGTTCTGTTCTAGTTCAGTTCTGTTCTAGTTCTGTTCTAGTTCTGTTCTAGTTCTGTTCTAGTTCTGTTCTAGTTCTGTTCTAGTTCTGTTCTAGTTCTGTTCTAGTTCTGTTCTAGTTCTGTTCTAGTTCTGTTCTAGTTCTGTTCTAGTTCTGTTCTGTTCTAGTTCAGTTCTGTTCTAGTTCAGTTCAGTTCTGTTCTAGTTCAGTTCAGTTCTGTTCTAGTTCAGTTCAGTTCAGTTCAGTTCAGTTCAGTTCTGTTCTAGTTCTAGTTCTAGTTCTAGTTCTGTTCTAGTTCTGTTCTAGTTCTGTTCTAGTTCTGTTCTGTTCTAGTTCTGTTCTAGTTCTGTTCTAGTTCTGTTCTAGTTCTGTTCTATTCTGTTCTAGTTCTGTTCTAGTTCTGTTCTAGTTCTGTTCTAGTTCTGTTCTAGTTCTGTTCTAGTTCTGTTCTAGTTCTGTTCTAGTTCTGTTCTAGTTCTGTTCTAGTTCTGTTCTAGTTCTGTTCTAGTTCTGTTCTAGTTCTGTTCTAGTTCTGTTCTAGTTCTGTTCTAGTTCTGTTCTAGTTCTGTTCTAGTTCTGTTCTAGTTCTGTTCTAGTTCTGTTCTAGTTCTGTTCTAGTTCTGTTCTAGTTCTGTTCTAGTTCTGTTCTAGTTCTGTTCTAGTTCTGTTCTAGTTCTGTTCTAGTTCTGTTCTAGTTCTGTTCTAGTTCTGTTCTAGTTCTGTTCTAGTTCTGTTCTAGTTCTGTTCTGTTCTGTTCTAGTTCTGTTCTAGTTCTAATTCTGTTCTAGTTCTGTTCTAGTTCTGTTCTAGTTCTGTTCTAGTTCTGTTCTAGTTCTGTTCTAGTTCTGTTCTAGTTCTGTTCTAGTTCTGTTCTAGTTCTGTTCTAGTTCTGTTCTAGTTCTGTTCTACTTCTGTTCTTGTTCTGCTCTAGTTCTGTTCTATTTTGTTCCAGTTCAGATTTCTATTCTCTTTTACTGAACTTCATTTTAATATTTTAATCTTTTAAATTTACTTGTTTTCTGTTAAAAATATAGAATTGACTAAATAGCTGAAACAAAATTCCCTACAAACATTCGTTTACCAATTATCCCTTTTGGCAAAATTTCTTATCTCATTTTATTTAAACCACAAAAATGTCAATTATTCATTTTTGGACACAGAGCAAGCAGAAATTTGTCTAAAAATTTAACGCCAAACATATTTCAAAACTAATAAATGACAATAAGAATTCCATAATAATTTCTTTCCCTTTTTACCTGAACTCTTTAAATTTAAACGCAAAATTATGACAAATATTTTGTTTTTGCACATGGCTTAAATTTTTCAACATATTTTTACCAATACTTGAAGGAACTACAAACAAAAACATATGGTCTGATGACAAGAATTCCTTTTTTTTTGAAAAGTAAAAGAGGAAATGAGCAATTTATCTCTACAAAAATATGTATGTAAGTGTGTGAAAGAGAGTGTGTGTGGGTTAAATTGATTGTTTACAACAACACCAATAGTCATGATGAAGTGTTTCTGAAGTGTTAAAGAAAATGTAAATATGAGCAATCATAAACCGTGACATTTGAAACTGTTCGATCAATGGGAATAACGATAAAAGAGGAAAATTTGGGAAAATTTTTGGAGGTGGAAAAACGCCTTCTTTTAAACGCTTTATAACAATAAGCCAGTAAAAAATAATTGTATGTAAATACACTATAATGACAATGATAAAAATATTTATGAGTTTTTAAACTAAAGAAATATAGAAAATTTTGAAAACATATCTGCTCAAGAATAAGAAGGTGTGTCTGTAGCAAAAGAGGATTATACATATTTGTGAAAAGATGCAATTGATAAGTACAATAAGGATATGGAAATACATTTTTTTAACTTTATAACAGTATGGCAGTTTATAACATGTATTTTCTTTAGAAATATTTGTGTATAGCAGTTTTTTCTATAGAAAAATTTGTGTATAACAGTTTTTTCTATAGAAAAAATTTAGTATAACAGTTTTTTCTACAAAAAATGTGTATAACAGTTTTTTTTTCAATAGAAAAAATTGTGTATAACAGTTTTTTCTATGGGGAATTTTGTGTATAACAGTTTTTTCCATAGGAAAAATTTATGTGTAACAGTTTTTTTATAGAAAAATTTGCGTATAACAGTTTCTCTATAAAAAATTTTGTATAACAGTTTTTTCTATCGGAAAATTTGTGTATAACAGTTTTTTTATAGAAACTTCTGTGTATAACAGTTTTTTATAGAAACATTTGTGTGTAAGACTTTTTTCTATAGGAACAATCTTTGTATAACAGTTTTTTTTTCTATAGAAATAATTGCGTTTTAAAGTTTTTTCTGTAGAAAAAATTGAGTTTAACTTTTTTTCTAAAGTAAAAATTTGTGTATAACAGTTTTTTCTATAGAAAAATGTTTGTATAACAGATTTTTATATGGGAAGATTTGTGTACATCAGTTTTTTCTATGGGAGAAATTTATGTATAACAGTTTTTTCTATAGAAAAATTTGTATATAACAGTTTTTTATAGAAACTTTTGTGTATAACAGTTTTCTCGAATGAAAAGTGTGTGTATAACCGATTTTTCTAAAGAAAATTTTTGTACAACAGTTTTTTTCTATAGAAATAATTCCGTATTAAAGTTTTTTCTATAGAAAAAATTGAAAAATTTATGTATAACAGATTTTTTTTTAATAGAAAAATGTTTGTATAACAGTTGTTTATATGGGAAGATTTGTGTACAACAGTTTTTTCTATAGGAAAAATGTATGTATAACAATTTTTTATAGAAACATTTGTGTATAACAGTTTTTTATAGAAACATTTGTATATAATAGTTTTCTCAAACGAAAAATGTGTGTATAACCGATTTCTCTAAAGAGAATTTTTGTATAACAGTATTTTCTATAGAAATAATTCCGTATTACAGAATTTTCTATAGAAAAAATTTAGTTTAACATTTTTCTATAGGAAAAATTTGTGTATAACAGATTTTTTTAATAGAAAAATGTTTGTATAACAGTTTTTTATATGGGAAGATTTGTGTACAACAGATTTTTCTATAGGAAAAATGTATGTATAACAATTTTCTATAGAAACATTTGTGTATAACAGTTTTTTAGAGAAACATTTGTTCGTTTTCTCAAACGAAAAATGTGTGTATAACCGATTTTTCCAAAGAACAGTATAACAGTTTTTTCTATAGAAATATAAAAGTTTTTTTCTATACAAATTTTGAGTATAACAGTTCTTTTGTATAGCAGTTTTTTCTATAGAAAAATTTGTGTATATCAGTTTTTTCTATAAAAACATGTTTGTATAACAGTTTTTTCTAAAGCAAAATGTTTTTATAACTGTTTTTTCTATAGAAAAATATATGTATAAAAGTTTTTTCTGTTTGTGTATAACAGTTTCTTTACAGAAAAATTTGTGTATAATAGTTTTTTTTAGAAAAATTTGTGTATAACAGTTATTTCTCTAGAAAATCTGTGTATAACAGTTTTTTTCTATGGAATCAAATGTGTATAACAGTTTTTTATATACAAAATTTGTGTATAAAAGCTTTTTCTATAAAAAGTTATGTATAACAGTTTTTTCTATAGAAAAATTTGTGTATAACTGTTTTTTCTAAAGAAAAATTTGTGTATAGCAGTTTTCTCTAACGAGAAATTTGTGTATAACAGTTTTCTCTAACGAAAAATTTGTGTATTACAAATTTTTCTATAGAAAACTTTAGTATAACAGTTTTATCTATAGAAAACTTAGTGTATAACAGTTTTTTTCTACACAAATTTTGAGTATAACAGATTTTTCTACAAATAAATCCATAAAAAATGTGTGTATAACAGTTTTTCTATAAAAGAATTTGTGTATAACAGTTTATTCTATGGAAAAATTTGTGTATAACAGTTTATTCTATGGAAAAATTTGTGTATAACAGTTTTTTTCTATGAACAAATTTGTGTATAACAGTTTCTTTCATATATAAATCGCTGTATAACAGTTTTTTGTATAGAAAATTGTTTGTATAACAGTTTTTTTTTCTTTCTATAAAATGTGTATAACAGTTTTTTTACAGAAAATATACGTATGTTTATATAAATAAATAATTTGGTTTTTTTCCATTATTAGGCTGGGAAATTTTTCTACATAATTAAGAAAACCCACAACATTTGTTCGTTTTCTCAAACGAAAAATGTGTGTATAACCGATTTCTCTATAGAAATAACTGCGTATAAAAGTTTTTTTCTATAAAAATGTTGAGTATAACAGTTTTTTCTTTAGAAAAATTTGTGTATAGCAGTTTTTTTCTATATAAAAATTTGTGTATCACTTTTTTTCTATAGAAAAATTTGTGTATAACAGTTTTTTCTATAGAAAAATGTTTTTATAACTGTTTTTTCTATAGAAAAATATATGAATAACAGCTTTTTCTATAGAAAACTGTTTGTGTATAACAATTTCTTTACAGAAAAATTTGTGTATAATAGTTTTTTTTTAGAAAAATTTGTGTATAACAGTTTTTTTCTATGGAATCAAATGTGTATAACAGTTTTTTATATACAAAAATTTGTGAATAAAAGCTTTTTCTACAAAAATTTAGTGTATAACAGTTTTTTCTATAGAAAAATTTGTGTATAACAGTTTTCCTCTCACGAGAAATTTGTGTATAACAGTTTTCTCTGACGAAAAATTTTTGTATAAGGCAAAAATTTGTGTATAACAGTTTTTCTGTGGAAAATTTTGTGTATAACAGTTTTTTCTATAGAAAACTTTGTGTATAACAGTTTTTTTCTACTCAAAATTTGAGTATAACAGATTTTTCTACAAATAAATCTATAAAAAATGTGTGTATAACAGTTTTTCTATAAAAGAATTTGTGTATAACAATTTATTCTATGGAAAAATTTGTGTATAACAGTTTTTTTCTATGGACAAATTTGTGTATAACAGTTTCTTTCATATATAAATCGATGTATAACAGTTTTTTTATAGAAAATTATTTGTATAACAGTTATTATTCTATAAAACGTTAAAGTTGAGCAGTTTTTCTATGTAAAAATGTTTGTTTAAGAATGTTTTCTTTTGTGTATAACAGTTTTTTTTACAGAAAATATATGTATTTTTGTATAAATAAATAATTTGGTCTTTTTTCCATTATTAGACTGGTAAATTTTTCTACATAATTAAGAAAAACCAAAACCATTAACGAAAGTAATTGGAAAACTTCTCAATTACCTAGAAACTATCTACTTTATAAATAAACCCAAACCATAGTGTTAATTACAGTTGTTAATCCTGGTAACTTTTTAACAGTTGTTTTATGTCAGTAATGTTCAGCAGCTTAACATCTTGTTAAGCTTAACAGAATTACTAAATGACTTAAAAAATATAAAGAAAAAAAGTATTGCCTGCAATACACAGCCACTACTGCTCTTATAGCAGTATATATGGCAAAAAGTATAGTTTACTTTCAGGCGGAGTTTAAATGTTGAGAAAACACAGAGTGTTTCATGTTTTATGAAAACTATATTAATTTCTTTTGTATTTTGTTTAATATTTTTTACCTTATTCTCTTGACTTGTTGTTGTTTTTAAAAACTTTTGTATATTTACCTGCAAATAGAAGAAAAGAAATTAAAAATTAATGAATTGTGTTGAAAATAGAATAAAATAATTATAGAAAAATGTATAAAATATTGTAAATCTCATATTACAAGTTAAACATTATTGTAAAATACTCAATAACTAAAAAGTTGTCAAACCAAATCTAAACAAAAAATTAAAATTATATACTTTAATGTGGCAAGTTAAATTTCCAGTTAAAATTTCTATTAAAGCAAAAGTTTTTCGAAATTTCTTTGAAATTTTTCTGTTCAACGGAACATATAACAAATTGGATAAAATAAAATACAATGTTTTTGTGTGGAGTAATTTTTACCATAATTGCTGCACTAATACAATTTTCACAAACCATTCCCGATGGACTTTTAGCTTCAGAAGATAGATTTGGTTTTATGGTGGCTATATACGATCACTCCAAATACATCTGTGGCGGTACAATTGTGTCCCTTTACTTTGTAGTAACAGCCGCTCATTGTTTCAAGCAAGGACGTGTTACAACTGGTATACAAGTTATATTTAATACAATAGATTTGAACAATATTGAAGGTGATAATGTAAGACGTGTAGAGGATATTATTACACATCCCCGCTATTCAATGATGACTATGGATTTTGATATAGCATTAGTTAAGGTAGATGATGATTTACTTAAGAACGAGTATCCACATGTGATGAAACTGGAATTGGCACAAAATTATGATGTATACTATGGCAATGATGCCATAGTTGTGGGTTGGGGCCAGCAAGTAGAACCTAATGATGTGCCACCTGTTCGTCTAACGTATAAGGCCATTAAGATATGGCAAAGAGATGAATGTAATTCCCGACGTATATGGGGTCCTGAGGCGTATTATCTTAATCAACCTTTGGTAAGCGAACGCATGTTATGTGTTGATGTACCAAATGTTGGACCCGGCACCTGTGTAAGCGATGATGGTTCGGCTTTGATTACAAATGAAACGGAATTTTTGGGTATTTCATCATGGCGCTATGACTGTCAATCGCCTGGTAAACCTTCGGTATATACAAGTATACCTCTGATGAAAGCTTGGATTTTGAAAACTATGACAAATTATCATGAATAAAAAATAAATAAGAATTATTTTTTTTATTGTTGTAGTTCTAGTTCAGTTGTAGTTCAGTTCTAGTTCAGTTTTAGTTCAGTTTTAGTTCAGTTCTAGTTCAGTTCTAGTTCAGTTCTAGTTCAGTTCTAGTTCAGTTCTAGTTCAGTTCTAGTTCAGTTCTAGTTCAGTTCTAGTTCAGTTCTAGTTCAGTTCTAGTTCAGTTATAGTTCAGTTCTAGTTCAGTTCTAGTTCAGTTCTAGTTCAGTTCTAGTTCTAGTTCAGTTCTACTTCAGTTCTAGTTCAGTTCTAGTTCAGTTCTAGTTCAGTTCTAGTTCAGTTCTAGTTCAGTTCTAGTTCAGTTCTAGTTAGTTCTAGTTCAGTTCTAGTTCAGTTCTAGTTCAGTTCTAGTTCAGTTCTAGTTCAGTTCTAGTTCAGTTCTAGTTCAGTTCTAGTTCAGTTCTAGTTCAGTTCTAGTTCAGTTCTAGTTCAGTTCTAGTTCAGTTCTAGTTCAGTTCTAGTTCAGTTCTAGTTCAGTTCTAGTTCAGTTCTAGTTCAGTTCTAGTTCAGTTCTAGTTCAGTTCTAGTTCAGTTCTAGTTCAGTTCTAGTTCAGTTCTAGTTCAGTTCTAGTTCAGTTCTAGTTCAGTTCTAGTTCAGTTCTAGTTCAGTTCTAGTTCAGTTCTAGTTCAGTTCTAGTTCAGTTCTAGTTCAGTTCTAGTTCAGTTCTAGTTCAGTTCTAGTTCATAGTTCAGTTCTAGTTCAGTTCTAGTTCAGTTCTAGTTCAGTTCTAGTTCAGTTCTAGTTCAGTTCCATTTCAGTTCTAGTTCAGTTCTAGTTCAGTTCTAGTTCAGTTCTAGTTCAGTTCTAGTTCAGTTCTAGTTCAGTTCTAGTTCAGTTCTAGTTCAGTTCTAGTTCAGTTCTAGTTCAGTTCTAGTTCAGTTCTAGTTCAGTTCTAGTTCAGTTCTAGTTCAGTTCTAGTTCAGTTCTAGTTCAGTTCTAGTTCAGTTCTAGTTCAGTTCTAGTTCAGTTCTAGTTCAGTTCTAGTTCAGTTCTAGTTCAGTTCTAGTTCAGTTCTAGTTCAGTTCTAGTTCAGTTCTAGTTCAGTTCTAGTTCAGTTCTAGTTCAGTTCTATTTCTGTTTAAGTTGTGTTTAAGTTGTGTTCTAGTTCTGTTCCAGTTCTGTTCTAGTTCTGTTCTATTTCTCTGTTCTAGTTCTGTTTTAGTTCAGTTGTAGTTTAGTTCTAGTTCAGTTCTAGTACAGTTCTAGTTAATTTCTAGTTCGTTTCTAGTTTATTTCTAGTTCAATTCAAGTTCAGTTTAAGTTCAGTTTCAGTTCAGTTCCGTTCTAGATCATTTCCTTACACTATTATTATAAACTATTCAATAACTAGAATTGTTCCGATTCTATTTAACTAGTAAATTAAAATTAATTGCTTTAATTAACTGGACAAATTCAAATTGTTATAAAAACAACAAGCGGTATTTTCGTATAAAAGTTATTTTTTCAATATTATTCTGAATAGAGTAAAAAATGTGCTTGTTAATTTTAACTATAATCACTTCTATTGCCTACAGTATTCACGCCGTTCCCGATGGATATTATACCACTAAATATTTTGCTGTTGCTATAATCGATCAACAAAAAATAGTTTGTGGCGGATCAATTCTTTCTGTAAAATTTGTGGTTACTGCAGCTCATTGCTTTGAGCGAGGCAGGGATGTTGAAGGCATAGAAATTATAGTGGGTGTATCAGACTTAAATAAAACTACGGACGAGAATAGAAAATATGCCGAAGAGATTATTATACATCCACGTTATTCTAAAGTCACCCGAGACTTTGATATTGCTCTGGTACATTTGAAAGAGGATCTTACATTAGGTGGATCTGTGCAGAGAATAGACATGGTATCCGGTAATTATGATGAATTTTATGGTTCTGAAGTTCAGGGTGTTGGTTGGTCTTCAATTGGAGAAGGCTATGCTGAACTTCCCACTATATCCAGTGAAAATTCCTTTAAGGTGTGGTATCGAAGTGATTGCACTTCGCGTAATGTATTGGGACCTGATGCTTATTATTTATTTGGACCTTTGATAAGCGAACGAATGTTGTGTGCCAGTACACTCAAAGGTTTTCCGGGTACATGTGATGGTGATGATGGTTCGGCTTTGACAACATACAGATACCAATTGATAGGTGTTTTATCATGGCGTTATGATTGTATGGCGAAATCAAAACCCTCAGTATATACAAGTATACCTTTAATGCGTAGTTGGATTATAAGAACTTTGGGAAATATTGAACATTGAAATAAAATTTCATAACATTTTAATTGTAAATTTTGTAGAAATGTCTTTAGATTTGATTAAAGTTGTTTTTAATGTTTGTTCTAGTTCAATGCTGGATTAGTTCTAACACTATTCTAGTTCAGTTCAAGTATAGTTTTAGTTCAGTTCTAGTTCAGTTCTAGTTCAGTTCTAGGTCAGTTCTAGTTCAGTTCTAGTTCGGTTCTAGTTCAGTTCTAGTTCAGTTCTCGTTCAGTTCTAGTTCAGTTCTAGTTCAGTTCTGGTTCAGTTCTAGTTTAGTTCTAGTTCAGTTCAGTTCTAGTTCAGTTCTAGTTCTAGTTCAGTTCTAGATCAGTTCTAGATCAGTTCTAGATCAGTTCTAGTTCAGTTCTAGTTCAGTTCTTGTTCAGTTCTAGTTCAGTTCTAGTTCAGTTCTAGTTCAGTTCTAGTTCAGTTCTATTTCAGTTCTAGTTCAGTTCTAGTTCAGTTCTAGTTCAGTTCTAGTTCAGTTCTAGTTCAATTCTAGTTCAGTTCTAGTTCAGTTCTAGTTCAGTTCTAGTTCAGTTCTATTTCAGTTCTAGTTCAGTTCTAGTTCAGTTCTAGTTCAGTTCTAGTTCAATTCTAGTTCAGTTCTAGTTCAGTTCTAGTTCAGTTCTAGTTCAGTTCTAGTTCAGTTCTAGTTCAGTTCTAGTTCAGTTCTAGTTCAGTTCTAGTTCAGTTCTAGTTCAGTTCTAGTTCAGTTCTAGTTCAGTTCTAGTTGAGTTCTAGTTCAGTTCTAGTTCAGTTCTAGTTCAGTTCTAGTTCAGTTCTAGTTCAGTTCTAGTTCAGTTCTAGTTCAGTTCTAGTTCAGTTCTAGTTCAGTTCTAGTTCAGTTCTAGTTCAGTTCTAGTTCAGTTCTAGTTCAGTTCTAGTTCTAGTAGTTCTAGTTCAGTTCTAGTTCAGTTCTAGTTCAGTTCTAGTTCAGTTCTAGTTCAGTTCTAGTTCAGTTCTAGTTCCATACTAGTTCAGTTCTAGTTCCATTCTAGATCAGTTCTAGTTCGGTTCTAGCTCAGTTCTAGTTCAGTTCTAGTTCTAGTTCAGTTCTAGTTCTAGTTCAGTTCTAGTTCAGTTCTAGTTCATTTCTAGTTCAGTTCTAGTTCAGTTCTAGTTCAGTTCTAGTTCAGTTTCAGTTCAACTATTTAATATTTAGTATATTTTTTATTAACTTTTAAAAATTTTACTTAAAGTTAAAATAATTTTAGTCGATTTCATTTCTTAATTATTCCAAACACGTTCAAACCATTCTCCATAAATTGCTATATTCGAACAGACCAGGGGAAATTCTGTCGCTTCGCAAAATTCATTAAAGGATACAATACCCAATAGTTTATTATCCATTACCAGAGAAGAGGCATCATCATGGATACACACACCATCGGGAATGCTAGCGCAAAATGTATTTTCACTAGGTAATGGAACTTCATTATGAAATGTTTCATCTCCATAAATATAAACAGCGGTACAGTTATACGGATGCCAGAGCGACACATAAACACGAGCCAATTTAATGCCATCTGAACGATCCCAGTAGACTAATTGGGCAAAATCGTTGTATTTTATTTCGTAATCCTGTGAAATTAATCCAATGGGTTCGACAACGTAATTGTCATCATATGAGGGAGTTATTGGTTCTCTTAGTTTCACTAATGCTATATCGAATTCCCTGGTACTGGGTGTATAGCGGGGATGTACTATGATACCATTGGAAAATTTTATATTGTCATCGGAAAATTTGCCAGCATCGCTAGTTCCCACAACTATACGCATATAACTAGGACTTAACTTATTAACACAATGGGCTGCTGTCGCCACATAATCTGGCCTAACCAAGGCCCCTGCACACATTAAAACTCCATTATATAATATAGCCACTTCAAATGGATGCTCGCCATCATTAGCGTACTTCATTTGACTGAGACTGGTGCTGAATAGATTTAATACAACGATTGTAAGTAAAAAGAAAAACATTTTGTGACGAACGCTTTTTAAGTATTTAGAGATTTTTGAGCAAATGTTTTAATTTTGCGCACAAAATATCGCGTTTTATACGGGAACATTTGAAGTTATTGTTTAAATTGTATTTTTACGGTGCTAATTCAATAAGTTTCTCATTAATTTGTGGTATGGAACTTTATAGTAAATCGTCCGAAATGTGTTCTAGTTCAGTTGTAGTTCAGATGTAGTACAGTTCTAGTTCAGTTCTAGTTCAGTTCTAGTTCAGTTCTAGTTCAGTTCTAGTTCAGTTCGAGTTCAGTTCTAGTTCAGTTCTAGTTCAGTTCTAGTTCAGTTCTAGTTCAGTTCTAGTTCAGTTCTAGTTCAGTTCTAGTTCAGTTCTAGTTCTAGTTCAGTTCTAGTTCAGTTCTAGTTCAGTTCTAGTTCAGTTCTAGTTCAGTTCTAGTTCAGGTTCTAGTTCAGTTCGTTCAGTTCTAGTCAGTTCTAGTTCAGTTCTAGTTCAGTTCTAGTCAGTTCTAGTTCTAGTTCAGTTCTAGTTCAGTTCTAGTTCAGTTCTAGTTCAGTTCTAGTTCAGTTCTAGTTTAGTTCTAGTTCAGTTCTAGTTCAGTTCTAGTTCAGTTCTAGTTCAGTTCTAGTTCAGTTCTAGTTCAGTTCTAGTTCGGTTCTAGTTCAGTTCTAGTTCAGTTCTAGTTCAGTTCTAGTTCAGTTCTAGTTCAGTTCTAGTTCAGTTCTAGTTCAGTTCTAGTTCAGTTCTAGTTCAGTTCTAGTTCAGTTCTAGTTCAGTTCTAGTTCCATTCTAGTTCCATTCTAGTTCAGTTCTAGTTCGGTTCTAGTTCAGTTCTAGTTCGGTTCTAGTTCAGTTCTAGTTCAGTTCTAGTTCAGTTCTAGTTCAGTTCTAGTTCAGTTCTAGTTCAGTTCTGTTCAGTTCTAGTTCAGTTCTAGTTCAGTTATAGTTCAGTTCTAGTTCAGTTCTAGTTCAGTTCTAGTTCAGTTCTAGTTCAGTTCTAGTTCAGTTCTAGTTCAGTTCTAGTTCAGTTCTAGTCAGTTCTAGTTCCAGTTCTAGTTCAGTTCTAGTTCAGTTCTAGTTCAGTTCTAGTTCAGGTTCTAGTTCAGTCTAGTTCAGTTCTAGTTCAGTCTAGTTCAGTTCTAGTTCAGTTCTAGTTCAGTTTCAGCTTCAGTTCTAGTTCAGTTCTTATTCAGTTCTAGTTCAGTTCTAGTTCAGTTCTAGTTCAGTTATAGTTCAGTTTCTAGTTCAAGTTCTATTCAGTTCTAGTCAGTTCTAGTTCAGTTCTAGTCAGTTCTAGTTCAGTTCTAGTTCAGCCTTAGTCGTTATGTTCAGTTCTAGTTCAGTTTCTAGTTCAGTTCTAGTCAGTTCTAGTTCAGTTCTCAGTTCAGTTCTAGTTCAGTTCTAGTTCAGTTCTTAGTTCAGTTCTAGTTCAGTTCTAGTTCAGTTCTAGTTCAGTTCTAGTTCAGTTCTAGTTCAGTTCTAGTTCAGTTCTAGTTTCAGTCTAGTTCAGTTCTAGTTCAGTTCTAGTTCAGTTCTAGTTCAGTTCTAGTTCCAGCTTCTAGTTCAGTTCTAGTTCAGTAGGTTTAGTTCAGGTCTAGTTCAGTTTTAGTTCAGTTTCTAGTTCAGTTTCTAGGTTCAGTTATAGCTTCGTTCTAGTTCATTCTAGTTCAGTTCTAGTTCAGTTCTAGTTCAGTTCTAGTTCAGTTCTAGTTCAGTTCTAGTTCAGTTCTAGTTCAGTTCTAGTTCAGTTCTAGTTCAGTTCTAGTTCAGTTCTAGTTCAGTTCTAGTTCAGTTCTAGTTCAGTTCTAGTTCAGTTCTAGTTCAGTTCTAGTTCAGTTCTAGTTCAGTTCTAGTTCAGTTCTAGTTCAGTTCTAGTTCAGTTCTAGTTTAGTTCTAGTTCAGTTCTAGTTCAGTTCTAGTTCAGTTCTAGTTCAGTTCTAGTTCAGTTCTAGTTCAGTTCTAGTTCAGTTCTAGTTCAGTTCTAGTTCAGTTCTAGTTCAGTTCTAGTTCGGTTCTAGTTCAGTTCTAGTTCAGTTCTAGTTCAGTTCTAGTTCAGTTCTAGTTCAGTTCTAGTTCAGTTCTAGTTCAGTTCTAGTTCAGTTCTAGTTCAGTTCTAGTTCCATTCTAGTTCCATTCTAGTTCAGTTCTAGTTCGGTTCTAGTTCAGTTCTAGTTCGGTTCTAGTTCAGTTCTAGTTCAGTTCTAGTTCAGTTCTAGTTCAGTTCTAGTTCAGTTCTAGTTCAGTTCTAGTTCAGTTCTGTTCAGTTCTAGTTCAGTTCTAGTTCAGTTCTAGTTCAGTTATAGTTCAGTTCTAGTTCAGTTCTAGTTCAGTTCTAGTTCAGTTCTAGTTCAGTTCTAGTTCATTCTAGTTCAGTTCTAGTTCAGTTCTAGTTCAGTTCTAGTTCAGTTCTAGTTCAGTTCTAGTTCAGTTCTAGTTCAGTTCTAGTTCAGTTCTAGTTCAGTTCTAGTTCAGTTCTAGTTCAGTTCTAGTTCAGTTCTAGTTCAGTTCTAGTTCAGTTCTAGTTCAGTTCTAGTTCAGTTCTAGTTTAGTTCTAGTTCAGTTCTAGTTCAGTTCTAGTTCAGTTCTAGTTCAGTTCTAGTTCAGTTCTAGTTCAGTTCTAGTTCAGTTCTAGTTCAGTTCTAGTTCGGTTCTAGTTCAGTTCTAGTTCAGTTCTAGTTCAGTAGTTCAGTTTCTAGTTCAGTTCTAGTTCAGTTCTAGTTCAGTTCTAGTTCAGTTCTAGTTCCATTCTAGTTCCATTCTAGTTCAGTTCTAGTTCGGTTCTAGTTCGGTTCTAGTTCAGTTCTAGTTCAGTTCTAGTTCAGTTCTAGTTCAGTTCTAGTTCAGTTCTAGTTCAGTTCTAGTTCAGTTCTGTTCAGTTCTAGTTCAGTTCTAGTTCAGTTATAGTTCAGTTCTAGTTCAGTTTAGTTCAGTTCTAGTTCAGTTCTAGTTCAGTTCTAGTTCAGTCAGTTCAGTTCTAGTTCAGTTCTAGTTCAGTTCTAGTTCAGTTCTAGTTCAGTTCTAGTTCAGTTCTAGTTCAGTTCTAGTTCAGTTCTAGTTCAGTTCTAGTTCAGTTCTAGTTCAGTTCTAGTTCAGTTCTAGTTCAGTTCTAGTTCAGTTCTAGTTCAGTTCTAGTTCAGTTCTAGTTCAGTTCTAGTTCAGTTCTAGTTCAGTTCTAGTTCAGTTCTAGTTCAGTTCTAGTTTAGTTCTAGTTCAGTTCTAGTTCAGTTCTAGTTCAGTTCTAGTTCAGTTCTAGTTCAGTTCTAGTTCAGTTCTAGTTCAGTTCTAGTTCAGTTCTAGTTCGGTTCTAGTTCAGTTCTAGTTCAGTTCTAGTTCAGTTCTAGTTCAGTTCTAGTTCAGTTCTAGTTCAGTTCTAGTTCAGTTCTAGTTCAGTTCTAGTTCAGTTCTAGTTCCATTCTAGTTCCATTCTAGTTCAGTTCTAGTTCGGTTCTAGTTCAGTTCTAGTTCGGTTCTAGTTCAGTTCTAGTTCAGTTCTAGTTCAGTTCTAGTTCAGTTCTAGTTCAGTTCTGTTCAGTTCTAGTTCAGTTCTAGTTCAGTTATAGTTCAGTTCTAGTTCAGTTCTAGTTCAGTTCTAGTTCAGTTCTAGTTCAGTTCTAGTTCAGTTCTAGTTCAGTTCTAGTTCAGTTCTAGTTCAGTTCTAGTTCAGTTCTAGTTCAGTTCTAGTTCAGTTCTAGTTCAGTTCTAGTTCAGTTCTAGTTCAGTTCTAGTTCAGTTCTAGTTCAGTTCTAGTTCAGTTCTAGTTCAGTTCTAGTTCAGTTCTAGTTCAGTTCTAGTTCAGTTCTAGTTCAGTTCTAGTTCAGTTCTAGTTTAGTTCTAGTTCAGTTCTAGTTCAGTTCTAGTTCAGTTCTAGTTCAGTTCTAGTTCAGTTCTAGTTCAGTTCTAGTTCAGTTCTAGTTCAGTTCTAGTTCGGTTCTAGTTCAGTTCTAGTTCAGTTCTAGTTCAGTTCTAGTTCAGTTCTAGTTCAGTTCTAGTTCAGTTCTAGTTCAGTTCTAGTTCAGTTCTAGTTCAGTTCTAGTTCAGTTCTAGTTCCATTCTAGTTCCATTCTAGTTCAGTTCTAGTTCGGTTCTAGTTCAGTTCTAGTTCAGTTCTAGTTCAGTTCTAGTTCAGTTCTAGTTCAGTTCTAGTTCAGTTCTAGTTCAGTTCTGTTCAGTTCTAGTTCAGTTCTAGTTCAGTTATAGTTCAGTTCTAGTTCAGTTCTAGTTCAGTTCTAGTTCAGTTCTAGTTCAGTTCTAGTTCAGTTCTAGTTCAGTTCTAGTTCAGTTCTAGTTCAGTTCTAGTTCAGTTCTAGTTCAGTTCTAGTTCAGTTCTAGTTCAGTTCTAGTTCAGTTCTAGTTCAGTTCTAGTTCAGTTCTAGTTCAGTTCTAGTTCAGTTCTAGTTCAGTTCTAGTTCAGTTCTAGTTCAGTTCTAGTTCAGTTCTAGTTCAGTTCTAGTTCAGTTCTAGTTCAGTTCTAGTTCAGTTCTAGTTCAGTTCTAGTTCAGTTATAGTTCAGTTCTAGTTCAGTTCTAGTTCAGTTCTAGTTCAGTTCTAGTTCAGTTCTAGTTCAGTTCTAGTTCAGTTCTAGTTCAGTTCTAGTTCAGTTCTAGTTCAGTTCTAGTTCAGTTCTAGTTCAGTTCTAGTTCAGTTCTAGTTCAGTTCTAGTTCAGTTCTAGTTCAGTTCTAGTTCAGTTCTAGTTCAGTTCTAGTTCAGTTCTAGTTCAGTTCTAGTTCAGTTCTAGTTCAGTTTTAGTTCAGTTCTAGTTCAGTTTTGGTTCAGTTCTAGTTCAGTTCTAGTTCAGTTCTAGTTCAGTTCTAGTTCAGTTCTAGTTCAGTTCTAGTTCAGTTCTAGTTCAGTTCTAGTTCAGTTCTAGTTCAGTTCTAGTTCAGTTCTAGTTCAGTTCTAGTTCAGTTCAGTTCTAGTTCAGTTGTAGTTCAGTTCTAGTTCTAGTTCTAGTTCAGTTCTAGTTCAGTTCTAGTTCAGTTCTAGTTCAGTTCTAGTTCAGTTCTAGTTTAGTTCAAGTTCAGTTCTAGTTCAGTTCTAGTTCAGTTCTAGTTCAGTTCTAGTTCAGTTCTAGTTCAGTTCTAGTTCAGTTCTAGTTCAGTTCTAGTTCAGTTCTAGTTCAGTTCTAGTTCAGTTCTAGTTCAGTTCTAGTTCAGTTCTAGTTTTAGTTCAGTTCAGTTCTAGTTCAGTTCTAGTTTAGATCTAGTTCAGTTCTAGTTCAGTTCTAGTTCAGTTTCTAGTTCTAGTTCAGTTCTAGTTCAGTTCTAGTTCAGTTCTAGTTCAGTTCAAGTTCAGTTCTAGTTCAGTTCTAGTTCAGTTCTAGTTCAGTTCTAGTTCAGTTCTAGTTCAGTTCTAGTTCAGTTCTACTTCAATTGTAGTTAATTTCAGTCATAGTTGAGTTCTCGTTCATTTGTAGTTCAGATCTAGTTGAGTTCTATTTAATTTTAATTTTAACGCTTAAATTAATTGACAGCGTCTCTTACATATATTTTGATATAAAAGAAAAATAATTATAACACTTAAAAAACAATTGTGTTAAAATATTTCCTTTTAAAACAAATACATAAATTTTCCTCAAATGCTGCATCTATTATTAACAGTTTTAATCTCGTGTTGCTACATTCATCTCAACACAGCCGATATGTTAGCTGAAGAAGGACAATTTCCCTTTGAAGTGTCCATTGCCTATAAGTATCAGGATATATGTGGCGGTGCTATCATTTCAACACATGCTATTGTCACAGCAGCACATTGTATTAATTACATAGAACCTAATGATTTACAAGTTTTTGTTGGTGTACACAATTTTTTAATATTTCCACGTGGACATATACATGAAGTTGCTACCACTAAAATACATCCTGAATATGAGCCGACAACAAGAGATTATGATGTGGCTCTAGTTAAACTTAAAGAAGCCTTAGAACTAAATACCAATGTAGGCATCATTCCAATTTCATCGACAAGTCATGTTTATTATGGTGGTAAACTGGGTACGCTTGTTTATTGGGAAATTGAAAACGGTTCTAGTCTTTTATATACCCAGACCGAGCTGTGGGCCGAAAGAGATGTACGCCAGCAAATGCACTTGGTGATTTTGCCGTAGACCTTTATGATAACGACCTGCCTCCATCCAGTCTAGCAGTAATTTGTGCTGGTATACCAGCCGGACTGTGTATAGGAGATGATGCTGGTTCTTTGATTGTGGACAAGGAGCTGTGGGGTATAGTGTCGATGAATTTTGAATGTGATTCTAAAGATAAACCTTTGATTATGACGAACTTAGCATTTGTCAAGAGTGGATAGATGATAATTATTTAAACTAATATGTAAAATGCGGTAGTATTTAAGATAAGAATCAAATCTGAACAATAGTTGAATAAGAACTGTAATAAAATTGATTGGTTATGTATGTAGTATAATTGATTCTGAAATTGAAACATAATAAAGGGAGAACTAAACTGTAATAGAACTAAAACTGAACAAGAATCAAGGTAGAGCGCGAACAAAACTGAACTAGAACTGATCTAGACCTGAACTAGAACTGATCTAGACCTGAACTAAAACTGATCTAGACCTGAACTAGAACTGAAGTAGAACTGAACTAGATCTGAACTAGAACGGAACTAGAACTGAACTAGAACTGAACTAGAATTGAACTAGAATTGGAACTAGACTGAACTAGAACTGACTGAACTAGAACTGAACTAGAACTGAACTAGAACTGAACTAGAACTGAACTAGAACTGAACTAGAACTGAACTAGAACTGAACTAGAACTGAACTAGAACTGAACTAGAACTGAACTAGAACTGAACTAGAACTGAACTAGAACTGAACTAGAACTGAACTAGAACTGAACTAGAACTGAACTAGAACTGAACTAGAACTGAACTAGAACTGAACTAGAACTGAACTAGAACTGAACTAGAACTGAACTAGAACTGAACTAGAAACTGAACTAGAAACTGAACTAGAACTGAACTAGAACTGAACTAGAACTGAACTAGAACTGAACTAGAACTGAACTAGAACTGAACTAGAACTGAACTAGAACTGAACTAGAACTGAACTAGAACTGAAACTAGAACTGAACTAGAACTGAACTAGAACTGAACTAGAACTGAACTAGAACTGAACTAGAACTGAACTAGAACTGAACTAGAACTGAACTGGAACCTGAACTAGAACTGAAGAAAACGAACTAGAAACTGAACTAGGACTGAACTAGAACTGAACTAGAACTGAACTAGAACTGAATTAGAACTGAACTAGAACTGAATTAGAACTGAAGTAGAACTGAATTACAACTGAACTAGAACTGATCTAATTAAATAGAACCAGAAGACTTAAAGGTAACTACTTGCACCGGAATCATGTATAACCGATCAATTTGGAAACTATATTGTTAACGAAGAACTATGGGTCTTAGAATCATGGTATCTAGCATGTGCTTCCGTTTATAAACTTTTGCTTTAATATGCATATATTTTTAGATAAATATATTTTTTTTATATCCGAAATAAATTATAATTTCAATGGTTAAATTAATGTCTTAAACGCCTATTATACTCCTAGAAAATATAACATATTTAAACCCACATTTCGAATATTTTATTTCAAATCAAATTTAAAAGTTAAGTCAGATGTTGCAATTTCTCCTAACACTCATAATTTCAAGTAGTTATTTTCACCTGAATAGCGCCGCCATTAATTTTGCTGAGGATGAACAATTTCCCTTTGAAGTGGTCATAGAGACAGATGGCCTCGATATTTGTGGTGGTGCTATCATTCGAAATATACAATTATAACAGCAGCACATTGTATCGATGTCTTAGAATCGAATTATTTAAAGATAATTGCCGGGAGGCACAATTTCGAAGTTGCACCAGTTGAACATGAAGTAGATGCTACTGCTTTACATCCCTTATATAATGAAAGGAATAGAGAATTTGATGTAGCTCTAATAAAACTATTGCAACCGTTAGATCTGAGTGTCTCCAATGTGGACTTAATTGAAATTACAACATCAAGTTATCCATTTGATTGCTGGTACAAAAGGAACTCTAGTTTATTGGGAACTAGGTCAAGGTTCAATGCTATATTATGCAGAGGTCGAATTGTGGCAACAAGATATTTGTTTAAATTTTGCCACCGAAAATTATAGCGATATGCCTCCAGCAAGTAATGCGATAATTTGTACTAGCATACCAGAAGGTTCGTGTATACCCGATCAAGCTGGTTCTTTGATTGTAAACGATCAGCTTTGGGGTTTAGTGTCCTGGCATTTAGACTGTGATTCGAATATAAACCGTTGGTTTTCACTAATCTAGTGTTTGTTAAAACAATGGATAGATGATAATACTAGGCATAATTAAATTAACGTATTGTAGGAGTAATAAAATAAATAAAAATAACATAGTGTTTATCACTTAAAATAAAAAAAAAACCGATGATATTTGAAACTATAATAATAGTAGTGAATTAGAACAAACTTATCTAGAACTGAACTAGAACTAGAACTGCACTAGAAATAGAACTGAACTAGAAACTAGACTGAACTAGCAACTGAACTAGAACTGAACTAGAACTGAACTAGAAATGAACTAGAACTGAACTAGAAACTGAACTAGAACTGAACTAGAACTGAACTAGAACTGAACTAGAACTGAACTAGAACTACGAGAACTGAACGAGACTGAACTAGAACTGAACTAGAACTGTAACTAGAAACTGAACTAGAACTGAACTAGAACTGAACGAGAACTGAACTAGACTGAAATCAGAACTGAAACTAGAACTGAACTAGAACTGAACTAGAACTGAACTAGAACTGAACTAGAACTGAACTAGAACTGAACTAGAACTGAACTAGAACTGAACTAGAACTGAACTAGAACTGAACTAGAACTGAACTAGAACTGAACTAGAACTGAACTAGAACTGAACTAGAACTGAACTAGAACTGAACTAGAACTGAACTAGAACTGAACTAGAACTGAACTAGAACTGAAGTAGAACTGAACTAGAACTGAACTAGAACTGAACTAGAACTGAACTAGAACTGAACTAGAACTGAACTAGAACTGAACTAGAACTGAACTAGAACTGAACTAGAACTGAACTAGAACTGAACTAGAACTGAACTAGAACTGAACTAGAACTGAACTAGAACTGAACTAGAACTGAACTAGAACTGAACTAGAACTGAACTAGAACTGAACTAGAACTGAACTAGAACTGAACTAGAACTGAACTAGAACTGAACTAGATCTGAACTAGAACTGAACTAGAACTGAACTAAAACTGAACTAGAACTGAACTAGAACTGAACTAGAACTGAACTAGAACTGAACTAGAACTGAACTAGAACTGAACTAGAACTGAACTAGAACTGAACTAGAACTGAACTAGAACTGAACTGAACTAGAACTGAACTAGAACTGAACAAGAACTGAACTAGAACTGAACTAGAACTGAACTAGAACTGAACTAGAACTGAACTAAACTAGAACTAGAACTGAACTAGAACTGAACTAGAACTGGACTAGAACTGGACTAGAATTGAACTAGAACTGAACTAGTCTAACAAGAACTGAACTAGAATTGAACTAGAACTAAACTAGAACTGAACTAGAACTGAACTAGAACTGAACTAGAACTGAACTAGAACTGAACTAGAACTGAACTAGAACTGAACTAGAACTGAACTAGAACTGAACTAGAACTGAACTAGAACTGAACTAGAACTGAACTAGAACTGAACTAGAATTGAACTAGAACTGTACTAGAAATCATCTAGAACTGAAATTTAACTAGAACCTGTAGAACTAAAATTGATTTTGGGTAGACACAATCGTGAGGTGAATGAGCTATGGAGCTTAGAATCATGGAATTAATAATGTGATGTCGAAAAGGTTAGTATATAATTTTAAATAAATATTTATATTTGTACTTTTCCCGAAGTAAATTACAATTTGAATGGTAAATTTAATTTTTTATCGTTTATTACATATTTAAACACACTTTTAACTCATATTTCGAATATTTTGCTACAAATCAAAGCTGAAATTCTAGTTGCAATGTTGCAATTTCTCCTCATAATTTCAAGTTTTTATTTTAACTTGAACAGCGCCGTCATTAATTTAGCTAAAGATGAAGAATTCCCCTTTGAAGTGTTAATAGAGGAAAATAGCCTCGATATTGTGGTGGTGTGCCATCATTTCAAAATTTACAATTATAACAGCAGCACATTGTATCGATATTTTACGACCGATAAATTTATTGGTAACTACTGGTGTAAACAATCATGAATCTTCACCAATTGACCATGAAATAGATGCTACCGTTATACATCCCTTCTATGATCGCAATACAAGAGATTTTGATGTAGCTCTTATAAAACTTCTGCAACCAATCGATCTGAGTGCCTCCAATGTGAACTCTATTGAAATAGCAACATCAAGTTATCCATTTGATGCTGGTACAAAAGGCACTCTAGTGTATTGGGAACTCGGTGAGGGTGCAGGGCTGTATCATACAGAGGTCGAGCTGTGGCCACAGGATTTATGTTTAAATTTTACAACGAAATAAACTTTGAGATGCCTCCAGCAAAGAATGCACTTATTTGTACTAGCATACCAGAAGGTTCATGTATACCCGATCAAGCTGGTTCTCTGATTGTGAACGAAGAGTTATGGGGTTTAGTGTCGTGGCATTTAGACTGCGATTCCGAATATAAACCATTGGTTTTCACTAATTTAGTGTTTGTTAAGCATTGGATAGACGAAAATACTAGGCATAATTAAATTGATTATTATAAATAAATTAAATTAATTGAAAAAAAGCAGTTTTGTCATTAGAATTACAAAAAACGGAACTAGAACAGAACTAGAACAGAACAGAACAGAACTAGAACAGAACTAGAACAGAACTAGAACAGAACTAGAACAGAACTAGAACAGAACTAGAACAGAACTAGAACAGAACTAGAACAGAACTAGAACAGAACGAACAGAACTAGAACAGAACTAGAACAGAACTAGAACAGAACTAGAACAGAACTAGAAGAGAACTAGAACAGAACTAGAACAGAACTAGAACAGAACTAGAACAGAACTAGAACAGAACTAGAAGAACTAGAACAGAACTAGAACATAACTAGAACAGAACTAGAACAGAACTAGAACAGAACTAGAACAGAACTAGAACATAACTAGAACAACTAGAACAGAACTAGAACAGAACTAGAACAGAACTAGAACAGAACTAGAACAGAACTAGAACAGAACTAGAACAGAACTAAAACAGAACTAGAACAGAACTAGAACAGAACTAGAAGAGAACTAGAATAGAACAGAACTAGAACTAGAACTAGAACTAGAACAGAACTAGAACAGAACTAGAACAGAACTAGAACAGAACTAGAACAGAACTAGAACAGAACTAGAACAGAACTAGAACAGAACTAGAACAGAACTAGAAAGAACTAGAACAGAACTAGAACAGAACTAGAACAGAACTAGAACAGAACTAGAACAGAACTAGAACAGAACTAGAACAGAACTAGAACAGAACTAGAACAGAACTAGAACAGAACTAGAACAGAACTAGAACAGAACTAGAACAGAACTAGAACAGAACTAGAACAGAACTAGAACAGAACTAGAACAGAACTAGAACAGAACTAGAACAGAACTAGAACAGAACTAGAACAGAACTAGAACAGAACTAGAACAGAACTAGAACAGAACTAGAACAGAACTAGAACAGAACTAGAACAGAACTAGAACAGAACTAGAACAGAACTAGAACAGAACTAGAATAGAACTAGAACGGAACTAAAACTGAACTAGAACTGAACTAGAACTGAACTAGAACTGAACTAGAACTGAACTAGAACTAAACTAGAACTAAACTAGAACTAAACTAGAACTAAACTAGAACTAAACTAGAACTAAACTAGAACTAAACTAGAACTAAACTAGAACTAAACTAGAACTAAACTAGAACTAAACTAGAACTAAACTAGAACTAAACTAGAACAAAACTAGAACTGAACTAGAACTGAACTGGACATAACCAAACTTTTTTCTTGCCTGATCCTCTCTGTTTTCATCGACATTTACACAAAAATATTTTCAAAACATTCTCACACTTGTACGACATCCGTGTGACACCTTCGTCAGTTTTTTTGTTGACTTTTTAAAAGATTGGTCATTAAATTTAAAACATAATTATATTAAAAAACTTTTGTCAGTATATTAAAAATAAAACATAAAATGACAAGACTACAAAAAAGCATTAAATTTAAAAGAAATATTATGATTACTTGACTCAACCGGTAACAAATTGGTCACACTCATTAAAAAAAAAAAAAACTTAAACTTAATCACACGAAACAAAAAAAAACTGGTAGTTTGGCTCATTTAGTCAAGAACGTAATGACTCGGAATAATTATGGTGTAAATAATACTTTTGTATTTAGAAATGTTAATGTGTGAAAACATGTAGAACTTTAAATCATAAAAAAAAGATTTAAAAAAATATGAAAACAGAATTTGGTCAATGAAGAAGGTAAAAGGAAGGAACGAATAAGAATTGATTCTGAAATGAATTAGAATAGATCAGGAATTAATTGAAAAATTATCTAGAACCAAAGTAGAATTGATTCGTATACATTCAGAACATAACTAGAATTAATCCAGGAATTAATTAGAATTGATCCAGAACTGAATTGTGATTAATCCAGAAGTAATTTCGAACTGAATTAGAGTTGATCAAAAACTGAGTTAGGATTGATGCGGAATGCTATTAGAATTGATATAATTGATTCAGAACTGAATTAGAATTGCTCTAGAACTGAATTAGAATTGATCTAGAATGAAATTAGAATTCAATCTTAATTGATTCAGCACTCAAAAGTGAATAAGAATTTATTCAGGAATGAAATAAAATTGACACAAAATTTCATAGAATCTTTTTAGAACCTTCTAAACTGCCTTCAAATCCTCTTTAAATCTTATTTTAATTTACGTTTGGCTTAATTTTTAATTTTGTTAAACATTATAATATTTGCATTTGTAATTTCTTAATTTCACGCCATTCTAGCGTTTGTCTTTTTCATAAATTAAGTTTGTTAGAAGTTTTCAAAATATTATCTAAATCTGAAAGGCAGAACACAGACGGAAATGAAAAACTGTCATGAAGAAAACCCCAAGGCAGACAAAACATGAAATATTAATGTTTTAGAACAAGTTTGACATTTAATGCACATAAACTAAGAACCAAGACTTTAAAAATATTAAAACAGAGATGTTTTGTTGTCATGATTAAATTTTTAAATATTTTATATTCTTCATGTTCTAATTAATATGCTCTCAATTTGTTAGTTTATTTAATTAAAATTAACACTTTTATGATCTCTAGACTAAAAAAAAATTCATCTTAATAATAATTTTTTATGTTTTCTATTAATAAATAGATATCAATTAATTTCAACTTGCATAAATTAATGCAGTTTTTTTTGTAAATTAATATTGCCGTAAAATAATATTTTTTTAAAATTTTAAAAAAGCTAATATTTAATAATAACACCAATGTCAAGTGGTTGATTCTGTGGTTGCAATTGCGACTGAAATTTAAGAAAAAAATATTGTATGAATATGAGCAATTAATTTTAATAAAATTACATTAAGGCTAGTCTAGTTTTTAAGACAAAATTGCGTTAAAATATTGTTATTTCTTTGACATTTACTTTAATGAACTGACAGTGCCCTTATCCTATTTTTAGGTTAATTTTTAGGCCTTTTGGTTTATTAAGCAGAATATTTTTATGCATTCTTTCATTATACCCTACACCACCGTAATAGGGGAGGGTATTGTTATTTTCATATTTACAATAATTTCTTACTTTTATTAACTTTTCTAATTAGCAAATTAAAATTATTTGTGAATATGTCAAACTAACAATCATTTTATGTTTTAGGACTGTTTTAATAAACACTGCATTTATCAGGGATGGAAAATGCACTATAATAGCAGTTTGTTTTATAATTCTTTAAATTAATTTTTGTATCTGTTTTCCATTTCGAAAGGGAAACTGTAACGAACACTACGAACTAACGAACTAACTAAACGAAAACTAACTAACTACGAACGAACGAACGAAACGAACGAACGAACGAACGAACGAACGAACGAACGAACGAACGAACGAACGAAAAGAACGAAACGAACGAACAACGAACAACGAACGAACGAACGAACGAACGAACGAACGAACGAAGAACGAACGAACGAACGAACGAACGAACGAACGAACGAACGAACGAACGAACGAACGAAACGAACGAACGAAAACGAAACGAACGAACGAACGAAACGAACGAACGAACGAACGAACGAACGAACGAACGAACGAACGAAACGAACGAACGAACAAACGAACGAACGACGAACGAACGAACGAAACGAACGAACGAACGAACGAACAACGAACGAACGAACGAACGAACGAACGAACGAACGAACGAAAACGAACGAACGAACGAACGAACGAACGAACGAACGAACAACGAACGAACGAACGAACGAACGAACGAAACGAACGAACGAACGAACGAACGAACGAACGAACGAACGAACGAACAACGAACGAACGAACGAACGAACGAACGAACGAAACGAACGAACGAACAAGAACGAACGAACGAACGAACGAACGAACGAACGAACGAACGAACGAACGAACGAACGAACGAACGAAACGAACGAACGAAAACGAACGAACGAACGAACGAACGAACGAACGAACGAACGAACGAACGAACGAAACGAGAACGAACGACGAACGAACGAACGAACGAACGAACGAACGAACGAACGAACGAACGAACGAAACGAACGAACGAACGAACGAACGAAACGAACGAACAAAAAACGAACGAACGAACGAACGAACGAACGAACGAACGAACGAACGAACGAACGAACGAACGAACGAACGAAACGAACTAACGAACGACAAACGACGAACGAACTAACGAACGAACGAACGAACGAACGAACGAACGAACGAACTAACGAACTAACGAACGAACGAACGAACGAAAGAACGAAACGACGAACGACGAACGAACGAACTAACGAAACGAACGAACGAACGAACGAACGAAACAAACGAACGAACGAACGAACGAACGAACGAACGAACGAACGAAGAACGAACGAACGAACGAACGAACGAACGAACGAACGAACGAACAAACGAACGAACGAACGAACGAACGAACGAAAACGAACGAAACGAACGAACGAACGAACGAACGAACGAACGAACGAACTAACTAACGAACGAACTAACGAAGAACTAAACTAACGAAACGAACGAAACGAACAAAACTAACGAACGAACTAACGAACAACGAACGAACGAACTAAACTAACGAACGAACGAACGAACGAACTAACGAACTAACGAACGAACTAACGAACGAACGAACGAACGTAACGAACTAACTAACGAACGAACTACTAAGAACGAACTACGAACGAACTAACGAACGAACGAAACTAACGAACTAAACTAACTAACTAACAACTACTAACGAACTAACTAACTAACTAACTACCTAACTAACTAACTAAAACTAACTAACTAACGAACTAAAAACATCTAACTAACTAACTAACTAACTATCTAACTAACTAACTAACTAACTAACTAACAACTAACTAAAACTTACTTACTTACTAAATTTGACAATAATTTACATACAGCTGACTTAGTAAGAACTTGTGCTACCGA